ACGCAGTCTTAATCAAAATCCTATCAACAGGGCCAGTGCTGTGGCGTAGTGGGTGCTGGCATTCCATATAGGCGCTGCTTCAAGTCCTGGCTGCTCCTCTTCCAATCTAGCTCTCTACTATGGCCTGGGAAAGCAGTAGATGGTGGCCCAAGTGCTTGGGCCCCTACCATCTGTATGGGAGAATCAGATGAAGGTTGGGGCTCCTGGCTTCAGATCAGCACAGTTCCAGCTGTTGTGGCCAATTGGGGAGTGAACCAGCAGATGGAAGACCTCTTTCTCTCTCTCTCTCTCTCTCTCTCTGCCTCTCCTTCTCTGTGTAACTCTTTGAAATAAATCTTTAAAAAAAAATCCTATCAACATGTTTTACAATTACCAAACTGATTTTAAAATGTATGTGGGGATGAAGATACCCCGAAGATCCCACCTCCCATAATTGAAGATGAACATATTGGAGGATTGACGTGTCACAGCTTCACTAACTTAAGAGACAGCCAGTCATGGCATTGTGGGACTGGTGAGAGTCAGAATGGTAACCCCGGAAGAGACCTTCAGGAATACAGTTATCAGATCTTTGACAAGAAAGCAAAGTGATACAAAGGAGAAAATCTTAAGAAAGAGCACCAGGTTTGTGAAATCTCCATTCCAGGAGAGGGCAAAGGACTGTCACCAAAGGCAGGTGGCTTTCAATGGAGACGGATGCCTGCAGGTCACCCTGCACATGGCTGACCAGGGGAGGATGGTTCGAGGCCATAGGCACCAGGAAAGTCTCTAGGTGTGCGTTCCCATTAGTAACACTGTTTAGGGCATGCGCCTGGACAGGTGGATGCCTGCACATCTCTGAGTACACTGCGGTCCACCCAGGAAGCCAGGGCAGAGCAGGGAGCACAGGACAGGCTTGACCTGGACAGGGGCCTTCCCATCCACTTTGCCTGCCCTGTAGCAACCTTGCCTGCAAGCTCATCAGGCTCACATCTTCCCCCAGATAAGGAGCAGAAGAAGCAGGTGAAGACTCCAAAATATGGCCTTATGGTTCCCAGGAACAAGAGGACCAGCCTCGAGCACTGGAGAACAGGAGCAGGCTCAGGACTGGCCCATGGCTGTGGCTCCCCACCCTGGAGAGATGAGTCATCAGCACAGTAGCCACTTGTCACCCTCTATCTCGTCAGCTTCTGGCCTCAGTGTGATTCTGCAAAAAGCACCCTGTGGGGACCAGCGATTCTGAGCCCTTGGGGTCCTGCCACTGACACAGCCATGGCTCATTCAAGAACGGAGTACAGAGTGGTCAACTCCAAACCAGACTCAACAGCTAGAGAATCCTAGGCCTTCCAGACCCAGGGGAAAATGGCTATGACCTAACCTGCCCGATTGGGATGACCCAGGTGGCTTCTGATGAACAGGGCCTAGTCGCCTTTTGGAGGTCGTGTGGGTTGAGGAAGAGGCTACAAGTGTCAGGGACCCTTGGAGAACTGGGATGCTCTCTCTGCCCAAGGTAGGGTTCCAGACTCCTTCCCTGTGGAGCCTCCAGGCCAGGAGCCTCTGAGCCAGGAGTCTCTTCTCCCAACGTCAGGGGACACATTCTCCATGCTAATGACCCCTAGTGACAGCATGACCTGGAGAAGCTGAACCCACTGTGACAGCAGCCCAGGAGGCCTGAGCTGCTAGAGGGCATGTGGGCATCTGGCCAGCCAGGTGTGCCACCAGGACCACCTGGACATTCTGGGGCTGCCTCCACCCACTGGCATCCTGGTCTGTGGTCAGAAGTGCCCTGGGGTCCTCTTGCAGGCTCAGGCCATGAGATGCTGGATTGTGAGATGGGGCAGGGAGGAAAGAAGAGTGGGAACCTGGTGCCCACACACCCAGGACAGTGCACAGAGGTGATCATGGGCCTGGTCCCTTGGCTGGGCCCACACTCCTGAACTGTCCCAAAGACCACATGTACCCAGCCACTGCTGCTCCTCCAGTTTTCCCCTGGTCCACGCTGGGCACAGGTCAATCTCAGGAAGTGATGGAGCACCCTGAGCCGGGTCTCTGACTGCATCTGGAGGCTGTGGCACCTCCAGCCTCTTGCAAGGGACTCAGGGACCCTGTGTGGCAGCTCGGCTCCAGGGGTCACAAAATCAAAGGCATTCTGAAACAATTTAATACACAATCAACAAGGGGCAGAAGTTCCCGAGGGTTCCTTCACAAAGGCGGGAGGGGTATGTGGCAGCCCACAGGTGCCTGGGTTCATGTCCTATCTCATCTCCTGCTCTGAGGGTGCCCATAGCAACTGTGGCAGTGGACTGGCTCCTTGGCCAAGATGAGCCAGCGTGAGGCCACTCAGGGAGGGGGAGAGGAGCTCCAGAGAGGAGCCTTGTCAATTGGGGAGGCCACCAGGCATAGAGAAGCTAGATGCTGGCCGAGTTGAGCTAGGGTGAGGAAGCTCAGGGAGGGGAGAGGAGCTGCAGAGAGGAGCCTTGTCAGGCGGGAGGTGCTGGGCATAGAGAAGCTAGGCTTCTGGCCGAGTTGAGCTAGGATAAGGCCTCATGGTGAGGGAGTGGAGCTCCAGAGAGGAGCCTTGTCAATCAGGGAGGATGCCAGGCAAAGAGAAGCTAGATGCTGGCCGAGTTGAGCTAGGGTGAGGAAGCTCAGGGAGGGGGAGAGGAGCTCCAGAGAGGAGCCTTGTCCATCAGGGAGGCCGGCGGGCATAGAGAAGCTAGATGCTGGCCGAGTTGAGCTAGGGTGTGGAAGCTCAGGTGGGGGAGAGGAGCTCCAGAGAGGAGCCTTGTCAATCAGGGAGGATGCCTGGCAAAGAGAAGCTAGATGCTGGCCGAGTTGAGCTAGGGTGAGGCAGCTCAGGGAGGGAGAGAGGAGCTCCAGAGAGGAGCCTTGACCATCAGGGAGGCCGGCGGGCATAGACAAGCTAGCCTCCTTGGCCGAGATGAGCATGGGTGAAGCCTCAGGATGGGGGAGAGGAGCTCCAGAGAGGAGCCTTGTCCATCGGGGAGGCCGCTGTGCTCAGACAGCCTAAGCTTCTGGCCCGTCTGAGCTGGACACCTGGTGGGCTGTTCTTCCCCTCCAGGTGCCCACACACATCCAGCTCCTCCATGGAATGGGCAGCAAGGAGGCCTCGAGCCAGGGAGGGCACACAGGCCTGGTCTCCCAGTGCAGAGCTGGCTCCTGCAGGCTCCAGCCCGTGAGTGTCCCCAGAGTGCATGGGGCTCCCATGCAGGGAGGGCGTCTTCAGCCCTGCTCCCAGGGCTGGCACAGCCTGCATGGGCCCGGGATCCAGGGGCTCTGAGGCAGGTGGGGGAGGGGCCCTGAGACCCTGCTGGCCACCCAGCTCCAGGGGCCAGAAATCAGCGCCTTTGACAGGCGGGCTGAGATTTGGGAGGCCCCCCCATCGGGACAGGTCTCCCCTGCTCTGCAAGCTCTGTGGGGCCAAGAGGCCTGGGCCATGCAGAGACTCTGAGGACTTCACAGACAGGGCTGGGGACGAGGGCTCTGGGGAGGCACCCTCTTCACAGCCTCCCTCCTCGTCCTCTTCAAAAATTGTCTCGGGCAGGACGAATCTCAGGTCCCGAAGCAGCTTTGGCCAGGGAGACGCAGGACACTCAGCAGCCTGGTCTTCCTCCCCTTCCTCCTCCTCTTCGTCCTCTTCCTGCTTCTCCAGGCCGCTGTAGTACTCCTCGTCCTCAGAGTCGGAGTCATCTTGGAAGGTCACGTTGAGTTTGGTCAGGGAAGTCCAGCGCCGGAGGGGGCCTGGCTCGTCCAGCCAGGAGCACTGTGGGCCCGAGAGGTGGGCGGCGCCCCCTGACCCTGAGGCCCCCGTGGAGGAGCCCTGGCCGCGGGGCTGGGTGCTGCTCTCGCCACGACTGCCCTTCTCCTCCTTGGTGTGTTGCTTGGAGTCGGGCTGGACGGCAGATCCGAGAGGACCGGTCTCCCCGGGGACAGAAGCTGAAGCCCCCGCTGGCTCCTGGGGAGCTGCAGCAGCAGGGTGACAGCCTTTGCGCTCAACGATGGTCTTGATGGACACTGGTGGGGGAGCGCGCTCCTGAGAGCCAGGCGGCACCTGCAGGGCTGGGCTGCCATCTTCGGTTGGCTTATCTGGAAAAAGAACAGATGGGTTTAATTTCTCCACGGCCACCATCTGGCCTGCAGGGTGCCTGCCCTGACCTGACCCTTGGGGTCCCCATTACTCGGTGTGATGCTCAGGACACCTCCAGCCTGCTGGCCGCAGAAGGAATGGTGCATGCAGCCTGGGCCATGGGAATGACAGGGACACCTCTGGTTCTCCCCTCAAAGCCCACAGACTGGACAGGCCTTGAGCCCCCCACCTCACTCTCTCATCTCTGGAGACTGCTGGCACCAACTCAGGACCCCATTACCTACCCCACCTGAAATCCTGGGCCCTAACAGTGCATTGGCTGAGTTACCCGCATCTGAGTCCCTCCTCAATTGTAGGAAGGGAACTGAGCCTAAGATGATGGGGGTGAGAGCTGGGGGTGTGTGGCAGACATGGGGTCTGGCCAGGCCCTCGGGGACAGGGAATGTGGTTTCCAAAGAGGTGGCAGGGGTTCCCTGTGTCCTCTGCCCCTGGGCCACAGTCCCTTTCCCGGTGAAACTGGGCTGTCATTGCTTCTGTCTCACGAGCACCCAGGGGAGGCAGCACCTGGAAGCACAGTGGGGACTTCCCAGTGTCTGAACAGGCTGCCCCTGGGCCCCCACTGCCAGCCTCTAGAGCTGGGACAAAGCCATCTCTGCTCTGCATGGGGACCCAGGTGCTCAGGTCCTTGTCAGCAGGGGACAAGAACGGGGACCCCTCTGCACCAGAGCCCAGAGGCCACTGCTGCTCCGGGTCCTGCTGACTTCTGTTGGCCCAAGGCTAGGACTGCAGAGCCCACACTCAGCTGAACTTGGGTTCTGCCGTGGGGGCCCCCAGCGCCTGCCTCTGTGCCCACCCTGCTCACAGGAGTGGACTCGGCCCCCACTACTGGGTTCAGGGCACGTGGGCCTTCCAGGGGTCCTCAGATGGCTGAAGGAGATCCAGTGCCGGCTGGACCACCCCGCAGGAGGATCCAGGGAAGCTGCCCGAGGCCCCGCCAGGCCATGCTGTCAGAAGCTCCTGAAAGCAGAACTGCTGAGCCCAGGGAGGACAAGGAGGACTAGGAAGAGGTGAGTCCCTGGGTGGGGCTGCCAGGGCCTGGCACTCCCACTACTGACTCCCCCAAGGGAGCATGGGACGGGGCCGTGTGCTGGACTCACCTTCGGGAGGCAGGAGGCACTGCAGCTTCCCCAGCTCACGCATGGAGGCCCGCAGCTGCCTGATGACTGCATCCTCGCTCAGTGACCAGGCCTGCTTCAGGGTCACCTGCAGGAACTCCCGGATGTGGTCCCTGGACATCTTCATCAGGCGCTCTAGACATGGGGGTGGGTGTCAGGCTAGGAGGAGCCCTAGGCATGGCGCAGCCACCATGGCTGCTCCAACCCTTGTTTCTGCTGCAACCCCTGACCCTGGCCCTGTCCCCCACTTGCTGGCCCTGAGGCTCAGCCTCAGCTTGGACCACCCTCAGCAGGACAGGGCCTGCCTGGTCTGCACAGCAGGCTCCTTCCTGTGTCTGCTGGGCCTGGGGAAGCTCAGCTCTGCTCAGAGTCACAGGCCACCAGGTCAAGAGAGCCAGGCAGTGGGGAAGGAGCGCATGCAGGAACTCCTGGATGTGGTCCCGGGGCATCTTCAACATGGGCTCTGGACATGGGGGTGGGTGTCAGGCTGGGAGGCGCCATTTTTGGGGGTTGGGGATGAAACGGGATTCGCAATGCCCCCTAAGCTGGCCAAGAACTCAGAAAACTCGTCCCTCCCCTAGGTTCTGCTCACCCGGGCCAAGCATGGGACCCCCCCCAACTCCTCCATCCCCAGCACCCAGGCCTCTGTGGGCCCTGAGGACTTACTTCGGTGGACCTTGAGGACGGTGTACACCATGCCGGTGAGTACGTGCGCGCCCTCAAGGATGTAAATGTCGAACATCCGAAGTGCCAGGGGGAACGGCACCTGGGGAACAGAGGCATTGGAGGACCCCGCGCGTCAGGGCCTCAGTAGGACCCACAGTGGGTGGGTGTGCAGTGTCATAGGGCATCCTAGCTGTGCCCTAGAAGCCCAGAGAGAAAGAGCACCAAGGCCTATCCAGGACCCTGGTGCCACGCGGACTGCTCTGCACACTTTGGAAGCCACCCTGGAGATGCCAGACAGCCCAGGGACCTGGGGGAGGGGTCAGCCCTTGGGCTGTGCTGAAACCAGCCTGTGGCACCCAGGGTCTATGGATCTGCTGCCTCTCACTGTAGGGCTCTGGCCTTTGCCAGGCTCTCAGGATGGGTCCTGGTGGGACCTGTCCCCTCCTTGCTGTCCCTGAGGCTCAGCCTCAGCTTGGACCACCCTCAGCAGAGCAGGGCCTGCCTGGTCTGCACAGCAGGCTCCCTCCTGTGTCTGTTGGGGCTGGGGGAGCTCAGAGTCAGAGGCCACCAGGTCAAGAGAGCCAGGTACTGGGGCAGGAGCTTCCCTGGGCAAGGGGTCCCTGGGGCACTTACCCCATCCAGGAAGCACTGGATGTACCAGTGGGCGGTGTAGTCCTCAAGGCACACACCCTCCTTCTCCTGAGAAGAGGCAGAGGGGGCTCAGGGCCCAGGGCCCAGGGCCCAGGGCCCAGGCCTGACTCCCTCTAATCTGAGCCCTGTGGCAGAGCCCCTGGGTGCAGGAAGCCCAGCAGCAGGTGCATCCCCCCTCCCAGCGATGCAGATTCCTGAAAGGACACAGGTCCCTCAGTCCACTCTACCCTGGGGACAGCATCTCCCTTCAATCTACACAAACTCTGGGGGAACAAGTGGTGGAAAACACACCAACACCCAAGCTGCCACAGACCCCAGTAACAAGGAAAGTCTTGGTGAGGACGTAGCCTCCCCTGGCCCAGGAAGCAGTCAGGACCCCTCTCTGTCCTCCCCTCCCTCAGCACAGAGCCCCCTGAGGGGAGAAAGGAGATGTTTACTTACCAGGTGTTTCTCCAGGGAGGGGAGCACGCGACGCATGATAGCTCCCAGGTGGTGCTGGAATCGCTCCAGTTTTGGGGAGTCCGGTGTGTAGAAATCTGAGTAATAGCAACCCCCCGGCCCTCACTTCAGAGTGTCTTCCCGGGAAGGCTGGAAAGTCAAAGGCTTGGGGCGGGTTCTTTCTGAACATGGAGGGTCAGGGGAAGCTCTAACAGGCAGGGGAGCCTCAGGGGAAGGGGGGGTACAGCTGACAGCCCAGGGCAGGCTGCCTAAGGTGACCTCTGGGCGGACTGCAGTCACACTGGGTGCCTCAGGGCCATCTGGACACTCAGGGTGAGGAGGGGTCACCCTAGAATGGATGCTCCTTCTGCAAGGGTGTGGCTCAGTGGGTGGGAGTCTGAGTAGAGATGTGAAGCAGTAAGGCCAGTAGAGACCTAAGGGTCATTTGTCAAAGACAAGGCACAGGACCTTTGTGTGATGGGAAGTGAGGGGTATGGCTTGGTATTGGGTCCTCTGCCGGCCCTGGCTTCTAAGAAAGCATTCTGAGGGAGACTGCCCTATGCACGCAGCAGCCAGTGAGGGACAATGTCCCAGTCACTTGTCTGCATGCCCATCCCTGCACTTGCAGGACCACGCCCACCACACCCATCACCCACCATGCATCGCGTGCTGGCTGTCCCCCATGAGCTGGACTAGTGCCCAGAAAGCATCCTCTTCACTCAGCCACATCAGCAGCAGGGCTGCCACGTGGCTTAGGCCCTGGCTGTAGCCCAATTCCTGGAAGAACACAAAACACATCAGAGGGACCTCCCTGGCTGGGATGATCTCACGTGGCAAGGGTGACCTCTCCTGGGAGAGCTGAGCATTACCACCAGGCCCCACTGCTGCCCCTTGGGTGTCAGGATCTCTCAAAGTTCCTGGAGAGAATCCTGCAGGGTCTGAGCGCAGGCTGTGCAGGGTTAAGAAGAGGTATGAGCCCCACCCCAGATGTCAGGAAGGGGAAGACTGTTGTGGGAGTGCAGACTGCACACCCGTGATGGCCTCTGGAGCTCTCTGCTGCACAGGTGCCCTGCTGGGCCCCACTGCAGACGTGAGGAAGAAGCACCATAGTAAGGCCTGCCTGGGCCAGAACAGAGCCCAGCCCAGGAGAAGGCTTCCGTTCTGCCCCAGAACTTGAGGTTGGGGCCAAGGAGGCCATGAGCTTGAACTCTACCCCTCAGTCTCTGCCTTGTGGATTAGAGAGGCCCCCTCAACCCAGGCTAGGATTTCTGTGACCAGGGGCACCCTGCATGGACAGCTCTGGATATGACCTTGGAACGTTATCGCAGAATACTCACGGGGTTGTACATTGAGTATGCGAGGAGCACCTCAAATAAGGAGCGTTGTCTGGAAGAGAGAGGACAGAGGCTGTGCGTCCAGTGCTGCCGAGGCTCTCAGTGTGGCTCTGCCTAACAGAGCCTGACAGCCACACGCAGGGCCCTTGATACTCTGCTCATGAGCAGTCCACCGTGTGGGTGAGTGCTGCCTGCAGGGACATGCACATCTCCCAGGGTGCAGTCATGTGCAGTTTCGTTTCCCCAGGTGGGTGTTCATTGCAGAGGTGAGCGTCCCACTGTGGGAAGTGCAGTCCCGTGGGTCTAAGCCATGGAGAGTCAGCCTCCCATGCACGTTCATTCTGATAGGGAGCAGCTCCTGTGGCCTATCTGTTCCCCATGAGCCTCTGTGGCCAAACTCCCCACCTCCCCCAGCCCGTGGCCACCACTGCCCTGTTGTGTGTCCTGGAGTTTGGCCTCTTGCAGACGTCCTGTGAGTGGATCATAGCACGTGTAGCCTTTGAGGGATGCTTCCTCTCTTAGCAGGATGCACCTGAGATGCATCCAGGTGAGCCCAGGGCCGAGCCTCGTCCTGCCTCTCACTGAATCCCGTTCTCGGATTCAGCTGTGACACGGGTTGCTTATCCGTTTCCCCACTGAGCATCGTGCAGGCTAGTCCTGCGTCCAGTGACTGTGAACACAACCCTGAATCTTGCGTGAGGGTTTTATGCACTCAGCTGTTCTGGTGGTTGTGTAAATGTGCATGTGTGCTGGGGTTCATGTGGAAGGTGTGTGTCTCTCATTGTGAGAAATGGCCCTGGGTGCTGCTGGGGGCCTGGGCACTGTGCTCTGTTCCTGCAACGAACCGGAATTGCGCTCACCTCACGTTTTCCCCAGCACCCGGCGTTCAGTGGTCTTAGTTCCCCCATTCTCACAGCTGTGCGCTGGTGCCCCGTTGTGGTTTAGGTGCTAAGCATGTTTTCACGCGTTGAGTAGGAGAGTTGTGTGTGCCATCATGCAGGGGCCCTCCTGAGCCTTGGCCCATGTCAGGGCAGGGAACCCTCATTTGCTTTCTTATTATTGAGATTTACAAACTTCATTTTCTGTATTTTGCAAATACTGTCTCCCCTTGTGTTCCTTTTCATTTCATTCCCACCAAAGTGTCTTTGGGAAAGCAAACTGTTCAGTATAAATAGAAGGCCATGGATCCATTTTTTCTGTCCTACGAGGAATTATGCTTTAGGTGTGAGCCCACGTCTCTCCTAGGACCCCATGTGTCCCAGGACCCTTGCACCTCCCTCCCCCAGGGCCCCTCCAGCCCAGAGGCCTCACTTGGCTCCGTATCGCTCTCGAAACATGATGTGACTTCTGAACGTGCGTGCTACATCTTCATCGATCTGTTGGACTTGATCTGAGCACAACCTGGCCCGTTCCTTCATCTCCTGCAGGGCAGGGCCGAGGGGGAGGGGCCAGCCTCAGGACGAGCCAACCCCCACTGTCACACAAGCACCCCAAAGCCACATCAGCTCTTCTGGTTGGCAGGGAGAGTTCCCCTTGAGGGAAGCTCATTCCCCTGATCCACGGAGGGTCATGGGTTCCCCACTCACCTTAGTGTCCACGCCACCCCCAGTGCCCAGCAGAGGGGCCACTGTGGACCCACTACAGTCAGCCTGAGGCCAGGGGCTCTGCCAATGTCCTTCTGTGCTACCTCTGCCTTCCCAGAGCAGGAGAGACTGAATCAGGCCTCCGAGCCTCCTCACTGGGCTCTCAGGCCCCACAGGACAGGAGTCAGCCTCACCCTGACCAGCCTTCAGGGCTGCCCCCTGCAGGAGAGCCCCAGCTCCATCAAGAGAGTGGACACCCTTCTTGGACTTGGAGCTGGCCCCAGGGGCAGCCCCCACTTGAAGACTTGGGCGAGGGCGGGGCTGGCGGCTCAGTTGCTCCTTGCTCCCTGATGTCAGCCAGGGAGGTGACAGCCCGGGGCCAGCCCTCTGATGGATCAGCCCTCATTCCCAGAAGCAGTTGAGAGCTGACTCTGACCGATGGAACCAGCAGGCCAGGTGGGGGCTGGGTGAGCTGAGGCCAGGCCAGGCATGAGAAGGCCCAGGTGAGGGCAGGGCCCAGCGAGCATAAGAAACGCACAAGCAGGGTCAGGTGTGGGGAGGGCCGTTAGGGACAGAGCCAGCTGAGGGCCCTAGCACACAGGACTTCCACCTCACTCCAGGCCGTCTCTATCCATTCAGGACCCAGCACAATGGCACTGGGCAGTCCTGGGCCTAGAGGCAAGGCAGGACCACAGGGATGAGGGCTGTGGCCCTGACCGGATCCTTGTGTCCAGGCCCATTTGTGTGTGGGGAGACATGGAGGAGGCTTCTGGGGAGACGTGGATGAGGCAGAGGGGAGGGCCGGGTGGGGGCCCCAACCAAATGACCACTCCTCCTTGGCATTACTTGTCCACCACACGGGAGCCTTGCGCTCCTGAGCAGGCCCAAGCGGGTCGGCCTGCCTCAGATTGCACGCAGAGCCATACCTCGAATTTGCCAGGGTTCTGGGCCTTCCTGGTATCCACGGAGAGCATCATGGCCCACACCTTGCCGCGCACCTGGGCAGGGATGCCTTTCTCAATTCTCCGG